TTTTTTTTTTTTTAGTGAGTGTAAAACACGTAAATACACCAGTTTGATTTTACTGAACTCAATATTCCATATGTGGCCTAACCAGTGCCCTGTACAATGAAATTATAACCGTTTTTAGACTTGTATTCAATACTTCTGTAGAATACGTCTGAGAACGTTTCATTTTCAAAGAAACAATAGATATATTTAAAATATTTTTGATATATTTAATTTGATTGACATTGTAACTATCTAAAGAAAATATATATATATATATTATAGTTTTCTATATTTGTATGCATTACATTTAAGCTTAGTAATAGTGGAAGGTAACATTATAATTGTGTTTTTGTGATTTTACAGCTTCTCTGGATGAGATGTACCAATGTTTCTGGACAACACAGTTTTAGGATGAGTGTTAGAGATGAAGTTAGTCCTACTGCTATTCACTCACCAACACTAAAACCATCTTTCAACAACTATGATAACTTTTTTTATATCTGAACAGGAAGGTTAGAACTTAACCTGTGAAGCTTGGTGAAAGCTAGTCAAAATTGTTTATATTTTTCACAATCAATTGACGTTTATTTTTAAAGTGAAATAATTTAGTTTTACCACTATAAGAAGCAAGAAACCTTCATCCTTCACACTAACGTTTGCTTTGCTTTGATTTTATTATATGCATTTATATGCCCCCCCCCTCAGTGGCACAGTGGTGTGTATGCGGACTTACAACGCTAGAAACCGGGTTTCAATACCCATGGTGGACAGAGCACAGATAGCCCATTGTGTAGCTGTGTGCTTAGCTACAGACCAACGAAAATACTTTTATGTCTCCAGTTACACTAATTGTGTTAATGTTTCTTCTGACTTCAGTGGTCTGTAACAGCGAACTATCCTACAAACTGACCACTCGTAATTTCTCCATTAAAAATAACAATTTTTAGGAGTAGAGTTTTAAATATTTTAAAGTGTGCATATTTGTAATATATTTATATGCCCTTCTCAACTGTAAAACCATTTATTATATTATTTAAAGAATTTCTATTACTGCATTTTATAGCATTTGTTATAAGTTGACATATTTTTGTTATTTCCTGCCCTACTATACTTAACAAAAAAAATTAAACATAAACTTCAAAGATGGCCTTAATCATCACAAAACCAACTTATACAACACATTGTTTTTATTTGTAAACGTTTTTATCTACTTTCTTTTATAGGAAGCAGTAATTATGAGGATAATTATTAATTCTTAAGTAACTGCATTATTGATATTTTTAGATGGATTTCTTACTTTTTGTGTCTGTAATATAATTTTATTAATTAACTTAAATCTACAAATGCTAGAAAGATCTCGGTAACATTTTCTATTTTTGCTGAAAGGTTTAAAACCAATTAAATAACCATTGAAAATAAAGTTTAATATCCATACATATTATTCTGTCCTGATTTTGTGTTAAGTATATTTTACATTTGTATACTTTGATTTCACTA